TGGAGAGAGAGAGGACCGAAGACATAGGAGGAACATTTCTATGGCTTTTGACCAGCAGGTAAGGACAATCTAGTCTTTCACAGTATGCTATGGAACATCCTATCTACCCGAGCTTAGAGAGTCTTACTTTCTTTGAAACTCGGCCAAACAGTATACAGTACACATTAATGTGACATAGTATCATGACTACTAACTAACGGGATACCTATTTGATTCATGTTAAAATATAGGTTTAGATATAAGAAGAAATTAATAATAACCAATTGGAAAATATAACCATAGGCTAATTTACTTTGAAGTTTAAGGACATTCATTTTAATATGGGGAAGTCAACTTTGTCTTCAAAGTTGTCTAATCCGGAGATGCAAATACAGAAGCTAACCTCCTCTGTGTTTTATTATACTTGGCTATCTCTTCTAAAGATACCTATCTCATTAACTGAAAAAAGATTTAATGAAAGGAAAAAAGACAAAAAGAAGAAATTATTGTAAAATATTTTTCAGGTGTCTCCATTAACCTTACTAGTTATTGCTGAACAATATTCCCCAAGTATTGGTGAGAGATGAATAATCTTGGAGTGAGAATTAGAGTATGAGGAATTTAAATTGTCTTGGGAAGAAGAAAAGAGAATATTCATAAATGGCATTTAGATGCAGAGTATTCATATGAATGGAAACCAGCTTATGAATTAATGGCATTCACTATGAAAAGTGTATCTATAGTTTTCATTTTTTATTTTCATAAACTTTTGGAGAAAATCGTGTTATGAGAAGTCTTCTTAAATACAGACAGTATGTGCCACCACTTGCCATGTAGTGTGGAAAAGCATTTTATCATAATGTCAAGGATGTCTGTGTTAGACCAGGATTGTAAGGTCACTGCAGTGGCCTTGGCATTCCTCTGTCATGTGGATTGCGGCTTCTCTCCTAGTTGCTGCTCTTAAAAAGAGTGGTTAGAGCCAGTCTGTTGACCTATGGCTTAATTGTTAAAGTTCCCAGTGTGAACTTCATTGGCTTTTCAGCATTTTTAATGTGTTAATTTCAAAAGTACATCTGATAAAAATCAATTTCTTGGATAAAGTCATTCTCGGTATAATCAGGAGACATATAATAAACTTAAGAACACAATTATCCTTTATTAAGTACTTGCTGTGTGCCAAATACTATAGCCAACAATTTGCAGGTATTGATTTAGCTCATTCTCAATGATTTTTTTCTGAGTGCAAGGCTGTTATTACTCCCATTTTGCAGGTATGGAAACAAAAACAGAAAAAGGTTCAGTAACTTGAGCAAGTATACATAGTAAGAAAAGGCTGATTTGCTATTTAAACAAGTATGTAAATGAGAGGGTATTGGATTAACATAAAAATGAAACAGAGGAAAGCAACAAAAGCCACTATAGCAGTAACAAAAATGCTTTTATAACCATTGTTCTTTGTGCACATTTGTTCATAAAATGTGCATTTTGAGTAACACATATTACAACAGCATATACCGAGGATGCTTTATTGATTTAGTTAGCTTCTCCATGATTGTACTTGTAGATCACCAGTCTCCTGTAATGGTCCAGAACCCCTTCGTCGTCTTTAAAAACATAAGTCTGGAGTTTTTCCAGAGAGGATTTTCAAGATACCCCACCAGATTTACTCAGGAAATTTCTAGAACTGGGAACAAGCAAACTGTGCCTTATTTGGTTCTCACTATTATTGAATGCACGTATGTAGACATGAAAAATATTTTCATACATGCATTCAGATAATGAATACTATATTTATATACTTTTATAGTATTTTGGCATAGACTATACATATTCTGATAAATGTCTCCTTAGATGATATCTTTTTGGTGTGTGTCAACTTCATAGAATGTATTTTCATAAATCTACATGGCTTTTCACTCCACACAACTTCTTAGTGCAATCAAGAGGCATGGTAAATTGTAGCCGAGCTCTTTCTGTGTCCCACCAGCCCACCCCAAATAATGACTTGCAGACTTATTAATTATGAAATCTCGACCTTGTCCCATTAGCTCTTATAACTTAACCTGTTTCTATCCATCTACATTTGTCTCAGGCATTTTTACCTTTCTTCATTCTGTATGTCCTACTTTCCTGCTTCCTTCATGCCTGACTTGCTGGCTCCTGGTGTTTCCCTGGCATCTCTTTTTCTTTCTTCCCCTCTGTTCCTCTAGCCTAGATTCCTCTCCTGCCCAGAAGCCCTGTCTATACCTTCTCCCTTGCTATTGGTTGTTCAGTTTTTTATCAGAGCAACCAGGAAGGCAAGGTTAAAAAAAAAAAAGCAACAACACATCTTTACATAGTTAAGTGATTCCACAACAGTAAAGGTCTGGGGAAATGGCTCAGTAGTTAAGACAGCATTCTGCTTTTGCTATGGACCCAAGTTTGTTCGCCCATATCCATTTAGGGCAGCTCACAAAATTTTGTAACTCTAACTCCAAGGAATCTAGTGCTCTCTCACCACACACACACACACACACACACACACACGCGCGCGTGTGCGTGTATATATATATATATATATATATATATATATATATATAGAGAGAGAGAGAGAGAGAGAGGTTGAACAGGACACAATATGATATCTTATAGCAAACATTTTGTAGGGAGTATATTGTAGAATACAAGAATAATTAACATAGATATATAAGAAGGCAATTGTTTTACTTTATCATTGTCAAATATTGTTTACTCTATATAGTGATATGTTAAATACTTGTACAGTACTAGATATTCTGTAGGCTTATGACCACCAGAATCATCACAATAATGCCCTGTGCTGTGATGCTGCAGTGACTATGATGTCAGTAAGCAATAGGCATTATTTTTAAATTCTGTTGTAACTTTATGGAACCATAGTCATATATGTGATCTGCCATTGACTCATATACCAGTATGTATCAGAAAAATAAACAAAGTACCATACATACTCCTACATACTAAATACTTTAAATAGTTCATAGGTGATCTGTAAGACATATAGTGACAGACACTTTAAATGCCTCTCAGTTACTAAAAGTATAATATAAAAAATATGAAACCATTTTACATTTGTCACATTTTATATATGAGAAAGAGCATAAAACTTGCACTTACCAAAGCTGGGACTATAAAGATAAATAGCCAATTTTTAGAAGCCAGTTTTACCCAGTAAACTAACTACAGCAGAAATAAATGGCAATTATTCACACAAGTGCCTGCCAAAATTGTAAGTGCCATGGAAGTGACACAGCAGCTATGAGAGGGTGTCCCAGGTAATTAGGACTCTGAGACAGTGACCTTGAAGCTGATATCCTAAAGCACCTCAGAGAGGAGAAGGCATCTTTAGAAACCAGAGATTGTATGCAAGGACCAGGAAGAGCCAGAATTGCATAGAGACCTGTTTGTACCAACAGGCCAGAGCAAAGGAATGTCAGACACTGGGAGCTGAGGCTGGGAAGGGGCAGGGGCACAGTGTGTTGACTATGGAAGGGAACAGTGTGTTTACTCTGTACATTGTATAAATTGTGTAGGCCATTCTAACTTCACTGTAAGATTTTAGTGGCAGTGTGATATGACCCTATTTATGTTTATGATAAAACTCCTGTTTGAAGTTCGTACTTCCTTGGTAAGGATCATGATGCTAAACAGAACATTTCTGAAAAAAAAATAGTTCTATTACTGGGTATTTTCTTTGCTACTTTAACTAATTCATTTTTACCAGAAATACCACATGGAACATAGTTATGAATACAGAACCCACATACATTAAATACATGTCATTGTTAATAAATGTGATAAATATAAGCCAAGTTTATAAAATCTTTACATTTTACACTGAAATAAATTGAAGGATGTACAACTGAGATGATATTAAGTTCCTAAAAGTGTTATTTACAAAATCAGTATGTTTCTTTTAGTAGTTTCCAAAACTACCTAGCATGCAACTTTTAAATAATATTAACACATTTAGGCATTTCAACATTGTTTACGGTAAGTAGTATGAATACAGCAAAACACAAGCAGGTTAATTAGTACATGCATCCATGGTAGGATTAACAAACTGATTCAAGTTTACTATTTTGTCCATATTTTAAATCTTATAAACCAAGAGGCAAAGAGTAGTCATCATCATTTTAATGCAATCAGAAAAGAAAGGACACCTGCATGATCTCTTACAATCAAACACTAAAAATAACAGATTCTTGGATACTAGTTCTTAAAAAACTATCATTCAGCTAAAGAATTTGACTACCTTTAGGGTGGTCATTGTTATTGAAATACACAAGTTGTCTTTTGGAATCAGAAGTTAAAAAAAAAAAAAAATCCGTGGCCTATAGCACCGGTTTAAGAGCATGCATCATTGCTCTAACAAAGAATTTTTCTCTTTTCGGGCCAGCTAGAAATCAGCAGGATGCAGCGCGGTACTGTGAGAGCCGGCTCGTGGTCCAGCAGCGCTCCCAGGAGGACGATGGCAGAAATAGCAGGCTCACAGGCTGGCTGAGCAACTCGAGGAGCCACATATCCAGAGAAGGCTCAGAGAAAAAGCAGGTACTGCAAGGCAAGTGTGCAGGAGACAGTCCAGACAGCAAGAGATGCATAATTATGAGGCATCTAGTGGCCCGAGTAGCTTTTGACCACTGAGAATATTACAAGAAACTAGAGAAAGAAGGTAAAAGAAGCAAGTTTGACTTATAATAGGAAACCCTTAAAAATTTGAATACCCAGGGCACCCGCCTAATATTTAGATTCCATGGTAACCATTCACTAATGCCGGTTTCCTAAAGCCATGCTACATAATCTGCCACCTGTCTGCTTGGAAAATAAGAAGGAAAAGTTATTGTGATCATGAATGCCTGTCCTGCTTGTCAGTTTATCACAGATAAATTAGGGGTACAGCCAAAGTTACCACTGGAGTCTCAATATAGTGTACAGACTGTTAGTTCTTGTTTTAAGATAAACTAGAATGAGTAAAAAATGAAAATATAAATGGAAAACATTACCTGTTAGGTGACTCTTCTTTTGATTATACAATGCAATTATTGTTTTACTTGGAGATAGCTGAAGAGGTGCCGCTGAGGTACTGGGAAGCTTGTGCTGTAAAGGCAAGAGTGAGGAATGAGTCGGAACAATTTTGCCTTAGCAACAGCGGGTTGCTGTAGTTGGTATGATAGGGTTATCATCAGGTCAGGACAAGTAAATGCAAAAAGGGCTGCCCAAGTCTTCCTTCTCTGAGGGTTTTGGTTTTCTGACCTTGCCCCTTGATAGCCACAGAGCATGTTTCATGATGTTAGCCCAGATGCCAGCTGATGAAGTGTGAGTTGATACTAACCATTTTTTGATCAGTGCTAAAGCTATTGTAGTTTCAGAAGGTTGTCTTTTTCACTTACAAGCCACGGGAGCATTTGAAATCGTAGCCCCAAAGATGAGTTATTTTCATACATTGGAAGTAGCTAATAGCTACGAAGACTAAGGTTTTATGAAGCACATGCCTTTATGCCAAGCATAAGGCTCTACTTATATAAAAAAGAGACCCGGTCTTTCCACTTTATAGATCTTTCCACTTATAGATCTTGGAGGATGCATTTTTAATTCTACAACAGCAATTGATTGTGTGATTTTTAGCTTGGGTTAGGTTAAAGAGGCAAGTGGTCTAGGTTGTTTAACGCTTGGGATGGAAAGACAGGTGTCTGTTCTTTGAGTCACACAGCCTCAGAATAAGGGATCCTTGGCAATAGCTGGAATGGGGCTGTGGTGAGGATGGAGATGTTAGGTGACAGTTTCTGTGTGTTACACAGGATTCCAGTTCGGTCTTCGTGTCAGAAGAAGCAGGTGTTATTCACATTTGACCTCAGGAGACCTGAGGCTAAAGTGCAGTTTAATCTTCCACTGCCAGGGTCACACAACCAAGAATATATGTTTTGATGTATTTCTCTCACTTAAAAACGTAGACAGTGGGAGAGTTTTAGAAAGAAATAATCAAAACGATCAGGACTTCGACATATAGAAGTAGTAATTGGAACACCCAGAGATGCGGGTGGTTAGAATTGTGATGGAACTCATTAATTGTGATCCTCACCTCTCTTTGTACTTTGCTCTATTATTGGGAATCAGCAGCCTTTGTCTGCTCAGAACGTTGCATTGATTAGACCTGAGCCAGAAAGGTGAAGCTGTGTCAGCGACAGTCTCCTACATCCTCTTTAAAAAGAAGGGTGTGTGTGCGTGTGCGTGTGCGTGTGCGTGTGCGTGTGCGTGTGCGTGTGTGTGTGTGTGTGTGTGTGTGTGTGTGTGTGTGTGTGTTAGAAGCTGTTTGGACTCAAATCATTCAGCTAAGACAGCAGAAAAATCTTCGCAGGGGGCAAATGGGAGGTGAGAGTAGCAGGAGTTGCTGCAGTCAGTGGGTACTCATCTGAAGGAAGTGTCTGTCTTGGGGGCAGGAAAGCTTGGCCTTCTTTCATTCATGATAAAATGCTGACATGGCTTGAATTATAGTTTTATGAACAGTGCAGTTGGACCACTGCTTCACCATATGGGACTGAGAGTGATAAATATTCTAGATATTGTTTTTTTTTTAAGAAAGGAAAATTTAAATGTAGAATATGCTCTTTGTACGAATCATATTTTTATGAGGCTGCTGAAGAGTAGCTGAGTGTTGAATCAAATCACGAACTCTCAAGGCCATCGTAATCAAAGTAAGAAAAGTATATATTTGCTCAGGGAAACATCTGTTACGGAATTTCTCCCGAGTCTCATCAGGAGTTGGCAAGCTTTACAGCTTTAGCTATGTTTTCATTATTGGCTTGTCTGCAGAATAGTTTACATTAGTTGTCCTCCTATCATTAATTCACTAGGAAAGAAATATCCCTTCCAATGACCCTCCTTTCTTAATAATGCCCCCTATGAAATTCAAATAAGCAAGTCATTTGCTGGTACATATTTTATTCAGTTGTTTTCTTGTATTCTATGTGCTTGCATAGCTTCTGGAAAGGGAAGAAATAGTAAGTAGTGAAATGAGTGTGAACCTACCATAATATCTTCAGAAATTCCAAGAGCTTCTAAGGCTTGGTTCATAATAATCGCTACTTCAGTCTTTAACATTTCACTGAAACTATTGTGATGGGATCCATTACAACTCTTTTAATCCAAATATAGGTGGCCCCGAGAAAAACACATGCTTTTATGAAACTATCAAATTGGTAATAAACAATTGTGGTTTTGAGTCTGAAATGTCTCCTACAGGCTGTTGTTTTAGAAGCTTGAAGGCATAGAAAGGGGGAAGTAGTTTACTATCCACGGGCCTTGAAATGTTAAGCCTGCCCTTGTCTCCTGCCCTGACTTTCTGCTTCCTGTCTACCATCATGTGACCATGCTCCCTGATGCTTGTATACCACATGCTCTTGCCATCATGGTCCGCACTGCTTCCATTCAGCCATGACTTTCTCTATGAGTTGTTTTTCTTGTTACCAAGACAAAAATACTCAATGGCAGAACTTAAGAAGGAAGGGCTTATCTAGGCCCCCAGTGGAATGCTCCAGTCTACTATAGTGGGACATGCATGGCAGCAGGGGCCGAGGCAGCTGGTCATATTGCATCTGGTGTCTGGAAGCAAGAGAGACGAATGCTCACACTCAGTTGCTTTCTCCTTGTTTTTCTGTCTGGAGCCTCAGGCCATGGAATGATTTAGTGTAATTCTTCCCTCCTTTGTTAAACTAATCTGGAAACTTGACTTTCTCACACATGTGTGTAGAGGTTTGTTTTCAAGGTGATTTTTGAACCTGTAAAGGTGAAAATCAATATAAGCAATATAAACTATCTTGCTTCCCCATTGTGATACTGAATCCCTCTTATAGCATGAGCCAAAATACACCCCCCCAACACACATAGTTGTTCCTGTCAGGCAATTTTGCTACTTACGTAACTCAAATGTAAGTAGTGAAGTAATTAAAGTGTTTGCTGGAAAAATCGAGGAGAAGGCATAAAAAATCTTCTCTGACAGTGTTATATAAAAGATACATCACAAATGGCATACATAGAATGACTATATATGACATTAAAGTAAACTGACCAGATTCCTGTTATTTTCATCTAGGTCTCTATTTGGTGCTGTGTGTTGTGTGTCCCACAGCCAACATAATACTATATTGAAACCCTTAACAATGTCTGTGGCATGTAAATATATTGGAGTTTTGCAAGTAAATTATTCCCAATGCAACATTTGCTAACAAAGCAGTCTCTAAGACTCATGTGACTGGTAATGTGGAATAATAGTACTGTATCTTTCGTTAAAATTTTATGTAGTCAAACTGTTGCTATAACTCAATTTACCACATAAACAAAAAAAAGTAATATCCTAGGCATTTAGTTCAGTGTAGAGTGCTTGCCTATCACACCCAAAACCTTGAGATGGATATCCACAGCAGCAGCAGCAGCAACATTAAAAAAAAATAGTATAAATAGTAAAAAATAGTGTAAAATATTAACCTGCAGTTGTTGATGCTATTATTAGGTGTCTGTGATTGTCTAAGTCATCAATCTCTGGCAAGCAGCTTTCAGAATGCTTGATGATATTGCAAGCATCAAGCTGTGTTGCATTAAGCAATGATGAATCTCTTTCCAGGTACAGCTTTGGCCTTTGGCTATCATAATGTATCACCATTTTGTTTACAAATGGGTATCCACTCTATTAAATGGCGATGGGGTGCATGAGATCTGACTAACAGGGAATGTTGGTACTAGCGAGGAGGAGGGCAAACAGCATAGTCAAAAGTGTAGTGAAAGCAGCCACAATTACTTGGAAAATAAACTATTTTGGTAAATTGAAATCACTGTGGTCTAGGTATTAAAGTGATTATAAGTATTGCTTTAAATTACATGCTGAAATCTAACATGCTTTACATATTGTACACAGATTGTTTTTTTCTTTGTGGCACAGGCAAATAAAACCAGTGCTTCATTCATGCCCAACCTGTGTTCTACACTGAACAACACCAACAGTCAAATATCCTGGCTGAAAACTTCAATTCCACCTTCAAAAATGACTTCCAGTATTCTGCCTAAAATCTCACAACATTATACATATATCTGACAATTTATAGATTTCACATGAGTCTCTTACAAATGTTAGGGTTTGATTCATCAAGTCCTCAGCTATTTACTGCCCAAGTTGTTATAGTTTTGAACAAAAAATGTCAATTTTTTTGGCTTGGAAACACAAACACACAATGAAAATGACATAATTTCCTCACTTTATGATGGAAAAAAGGCAAATGTATTTATACCTCAGCATCTTTAAAAATGATCAAAGATGTCATTTTATTCTTAAGGAGGAAGAACACTGTCATGCCTGCTGTTGCATTTGTTATTGAAATATTTTGCCTTGCTTTTGTTTTTTTCTATAATAGAAAGGTTTTCTTCAATTTGCATGATAAATGTAGGAAGAATCTCTCTTTCACCAGAAAAAAATTTCAAAACTATAGAAGTGTATAGAAACAATATCATTACCATCCCAGAAAATGTTATCAAATCTTTAAAGATTTGATAATTCTTGTATTCCAAATAAAGACAATAGACAGAAGGTACTACAGAACCTTTGAAACCTTCCCCTGTCTGATCTGTCTTTCATTCATTCTTGTTAATTAGATTATTCTTCAATTTCATTTCCTACATATATTCATTGTGATGTATGATTTATCCTTAAATATATTGTATTTTTTGCATTTTAGTGTTTATAAATATATGCATGTGTAATATATAGCACTATATAACTTACTTTATTTGTTCACTAGTCTACTTAGTTTTTACTCTGTATTACGTACATATGTTATATGTAACATGTACATATAATTAGGTATTTAATTTATTCTGTGTTGAAGATCAGATTTTATATTTGGAACATTCTGAATCATGCCTAAGAATTTTTCCCTACCTGGTTGTCAGAAAGACATTCCATACTTTCTTTAAAGAGGTGTAGGTATCAGATCTTTCATCCACCGACATGGATTATAAAGTATATTCCTAAGTTTACTTTTATAAGTAAAGTAAAACCTGTTCTTACAGTAACATTTATTGAAAATGCTATTTGCTCATTTTTCATGTCACCTCTGTTGTTGTGTGTGTGGCTTCCAAATAGTCACACATGTGTCTCTGTCTTCTCAATTTTTCTGCAATGGTATAGCTCCTACCTGTGTGAGGTTTGCTGTTTGTTAAGACAAGACCTTCAGAGCCAAGGAAGTTAAAGTGGCACCAACTTCACAAAAAGTTCCACTGAAATGTCACTTAGCCTGTTCTTTCTTACTTTAAAACATCTGTGTTTCATTATTTACCTCTGTAAATTTGTAAGTTCTCTGAAAGTATTCATTGAAATAAACTTATTAATCAATTTGGAAATATGTATATTTTAATAATTTTTATCAACAATCATAATTTTCTCCATATATTCAGACCTGGAGTTTTATTATTCAATATCTTATTCAATAATTTCTGTTACATTTATTGTTTGTTAGAAGAGTTAGATGAAGACTTTCTTTAATATGATATTTATTCAAACCATCTTTCCAGTGTGTCCTCAGGCTTGGATTTTAAAGATTTATTTTCATTTTTCAAATTGTGTGTATGAGGGGTGGTTTGAATAAGAATGGCTCCAGTAGGCTCCTATATTTGAATGCTTAGCCATCAGGGAGTGGCACTACTTGAGAAAGATTAGGAGGTGTGGCCTTGCTCTGATAGGTGTGGCCTTGTTGGAGTGACTGTCTCTGGGGATGGGCTTTGAGGTATCAAAATTCCAAGCCAGGCCCATTGTCACTCTATTTTCCTGACACCTGCTAATCTGAATGTAGAACACTTTCAGCTACATCTCCAGCACCATGTTTGTCTGTGGGCCACAGTGATGATAATGGACTAAACATCTGAAATTATTAGCAAGTCCCAATTAAATGTTTTCTTTTGTAAGAGCTGCCATGGTCATAATGTCTCTTCACAGCAATAGAACAGTGAGCAAGACAGTATGTTTGTACATTGGGTATAGGTTTGTGCATGTGAGGTGCCAGTGGAGGTCAGTGGCCTCCGATCCCCCCGGAGCTCAACTTACAGGCAGTTGTAAGCCACTCTGTGTAGGTTTTGGGAACCGAACTCATACCCTGTGCATGAGCAGTATGCACTTTTCTCCTTGAGCCATCTCTGTAGATCCCCAAACGAAAGTTTCAGAATAAAAAATAGTTTAAACCAATTTTATTATACCCTCCCCCCCCTCTCGTTTTTTGAGACAGCATTTCTCTGTGTAGCCCTGGCTGTCCTGGAACTCACTCTGTAGACCATCCTGGCTTCAAACTCATGGAGATCAGCCTACCTGTGCTTTAGCTTTGTTCACACTATGTTATTAATCTGGGGGCTCATATTTTTTTGTGCAACATTCTGAATTATTGCCAATGTCTTTACTATTATGTCTAATATTTTTCTGAAAATGTAGTTAGATACATTCTATTTCTTTATAATTTGTCTTTTGTGTCTATTAATTGTTTTAAGATCTTCAGTCTTTTTCTTCTTGTGATACAATCTATGTGAATTTATGATAACTCTATTCATAAAAATATTTATGTGGTAGACAGCCTGGCATCTTCAGGTGTGAAAATTTTATTGATTATTTTCCCATTTTCAGGATTTTTCTTGTACTAGCTTTAGTTGTACCAGTGTTTGATAGTTTCCTTAACCAGACTTTTCATTTTTACATATTTCGAAAGGTTCATACAGTATTTTTTAAACAACAACAAAATCGTTTTGTTCTAAATATAATGCCTTCATTTACTTACGCATTTTAATCAAACAACCTCAATTTAATTTTTTTGTTAGATTCTAGAAGTCTGTTCCCTGATCGTTCACCCACATTCCCTTTCTATCCTCTGTGTGCTCATATGGACTGAGTAACATATCCCCTGCCCAGGGCTTCCTGGATGATTTCAGGCTAGGCAGCAAGAGATCAGAGCCTGGGAAATGAAACTACCATATTTAATTCTCTAATTGTCTATAGTGCACCTCTGTCATTTAGTTGATCATTAATATAAACCTCCACAGTTCTTTCAGATGATGCTAACCACTGACTGTTCACACAGTGACCAGTAAGCCCACCTAGCTGGAAGTTCAACAAACACTTTTTGCAATGGTAGCAAAGAGATAAATCAGTCATAACTAAGCTATAGTCTTAGCCTAAGTCCTCTTTCTTCTCTCCTTTGACAATCTACTCTCAGAAAATAGTTTAAATTACATGTCATTTGTCAATTATCCTTCTTATGAAGTCATGAAGATAAAAAAAAATGCTTGTCTAAAATCATCTTATTTAGTCATTTGGTAGACTGTGAAATCCGCTGAATGGTTAAATCAGGATTTCTAAATTTAATTATTTTCATGTGGTATTTCCTACTCAGACTTGGTTTATTGACTTTTAGCAGTATATAAACATCATGATACTATATTGCATATTACTTGTGAAAACTCCTAATTAAAGATTAGAAATGTGTGTGTTTGTTTGTGTGTGTGTTGTTATGACATTTGTAATGTTTTTTTTATAGCATGTTAGTTTATTAATCTAAAAGGAAATCCTAAATGGGCCATATATTGGTATTTGGAGTAATGTCATCCTTCATTTGATATCATCAATGTTGATAAATCCTATGCACCAGCGTTACAAGTGTTTTATTTCCATATATAACATACTGTATCATTCAACTGCAGAGGACAAATAAGCAAAATATTGCAAATAGTCGGAAAGTTTGTTTTATTCATGAATAGACCCACTAAAATAATGAGTAATGTTGCATAATCTATAAGAAGACTAAAACAACTAAGTAATTAGCATTTTGGCAGAGGTTGGAGTAAAAGTTTATATCTAAGCATCTACAAGTGCTGACACAGAATTTTTGTCTTTTTTTGTGAGAAAAAAAGTGCTACACAGTAACTTAAAGTTTTAAAGAAAAAATAAGTTGTAAAGGTTTTTAAAATTTAAACCTTATCAGACCAGAATAGAAATTCAGAGCTCAAAGAGATTTTAGAAATAATCCAAGCCAATCACCAGCGTTGAAGCTGAGTCCCCAGGAAGCTAGCTAATCCTGAGGGAAAGCAGCACATTATACAGAAACAGAGGCAGTGGTTGACTGTGTTGGTCCCAGTCAAGCATCAAGTTTACAGCGTGTACTTTAGAAACCATGAAATGATAAGTTTCCTACAAAACTCACTGTATTGGCATCCTTATGGTTCCTTTGCCTAAGTCCATCTGCAGAACAGAATGGAGTGTTGTGACATTACTACATCACCTGGGGTTCAACAAGCTCTGCTGTCAGTTACTGAGAAGCAAAGGATAGGGAATTATTAAAAAGCAGCCTCGGCATTTCCCACCCTTTCTACTGTAATGATGACTCCTTATTCTTTATCTTGATCAACCTTTGTAAAATCTTCTTCACAGAAGGGATTTTATTGAGCATCTATTCCTAATCATAAACTATAGGCACCAGAATATCAGATACGTTGCAGTGAGGAGACCTATGATGTTCCCTTAACAGATATTTTATAATTGAAGTAGTCTTTGCATTTTTTAAAGATATATGACAGACTAGAGAATTGGCTCAGTGGTAGAGTGTTTGTTGATCTTGCATAGGACCACGTTAGATTCTCAGCACAACATGGTGGCTCACAAATATCAGTAACTACAGCTCCAGAGGACCATATTCATTTTCTGACCTTTGTGACCATGCAGAATACACACACAGTGCACAGACAAATATGAAAACAGAACACTATACATAAAATAAAGAAATAAACCTAGAAAAGAAGAATGTAAGAAACAGGCCATGAACATGTGATACATAGTGTATATGTATTATAGAGATAAAGGGCAAATATTAGGATCACATGAACAGAGATCTTAATTAAAAACAGATGCTTTGATTATTTGGGAAAAACTGAAGCAATTGAAAATCTAAGTGAAGAGTGATGGAGAAAAGGTCTTGAATAACGCAGGAGGAAATTGCAATAGTATCTTTGCGTATGAATGTGGCTGAAAGGGAGTTGAGAATCTTGGGAGAAACAAAGTAGCCTGGGTTCTTTGGATCTCACTGGAGATGGAGCAATTGAGATGACAAGAAAGTGAGTGATCTAGAATGACTAAATTAGTCAGTGTCATTCTGGAATAAGATTTGGGAGATGACAAGGTAAACCGATGAGTCAGAGTTTTCTAGAGAAAAAAAGTAAGATATCTGCCTAGGTTTAAAGAGAACCTATGCTGTTTATTGATTTGTGCCTTCCCCAGGTTTACACTACTGAATCTATAACTGTGAGTGTATTTGTAGGTTGAGGTCTTTGGACGAGGTTAAGTTTACCTAAGGTCAGGTGCATGAGTGATGCACTTGAAGAAGTACAAGCAAACTCTCTCTTCCTAGAGAAGGTTCTATTTACAAAGAAGGAAGAAGGCCTTCACTAAGACCTGAGCTCTGCCTTATCTTGGGCTTTCCAGCTTCTAGAATTAGTAAAAGGTGAATTTCTGTAATTTAAGCCATTTTCTATGTTATCTTTGATGTCTTTGTGTTTGTTTGTTCGTTTGTTTTTGACACAGAGACCGACAGACTTATAGAAAGAGACAGACTTGGGGTGGGGCCTATCTACTGTCATTGTGTGATTTCAGCAAATCTGAAATCCATACAATAGACTGACAGTGTGGAAACCAAGTAGAGACTGATGCTGAGTCTTGAGTTTGCAAGTGGCAGGTCAAGAATATAGCTTAGAAACTCAGGCCAGATTTGATGCCACAGATTTAAGTCAGCTTCATGGGAGGCCATACAAATGACAAAGAGGACTTCTTACAGGACAAATGGTAGAACTGGGTGAGGAATGGCAAGATGAGCCTGTCAGTCCAATGTCCCATATAGGAGATATATAGGTGCCTCTTAGATTCCACTATGTATTCCAATACAGTGTCCAGTGAGTGTACTCAGATTCTATAAAATGAGAAGAAAGATAGTAAGGAAGTAGACTGGTAAATAGCACCTACTTTGGCATTCTTGGTCTCTGGTCAAGACAGAGTAAAGGACTTTTTTGGCTGCTAGCATAAGACAACAATTACAACTGTTCACTCTCAAAGCCCCTCCCATAAAATTGCTTTTTCTATCTCCAATTTTCATCAATACTAGGTTACTAGCTGCTGCTCTCACAGACGTCACCCATTTTGGGGTGACATTAGGTACATGAGGTACCCAAGGTACCACTTAAAACATATCCAGAATCCCTTTGCATTTTGTCTCTTTGGTAGGATAAATGTAACAAAAATTTCCCAAGTGTTTCGTAACCTTGCAGTAATATTTCACTCTCAAAATGTTTCCTGAAATTCTTCAATTGTAGCCTAAAAATGTATTCTAGTTTTAAAAAACATATTTATTACTGTCATCACTACTATCATTTCAAATTTACTGAGTGATAAGAAAAAATATTGTTGTGTTACATGTGGCTACCCTTGTGTTCCAATTATGTAATCTTAATTTTAAAAAGAATTTGGCATTATTATCTATATTATTACATATAAAAGACAAAAGCAGTGCACAGATGGTTATGCAGAGGGAGCCCCTGCTTTGTATTTGCAAATTCACGGGCACAGCATATGCATATATTTGCAGCTTGAACATAATTAAGCTGGGTGGAAGCCATTCATTTGAACCATGGTAATACTGTTCTATATTTAAATACAGAAAGACTGCCAGATCTGATCCAAGATTTACAACAGTTTTACTGGAGAACAACAAAACAAAACACAATAGTTAATCCAAGATAAATGCTGATGTAAATAATGAGTGTAAATCTTATCTAACTAAAGTTAATCTTTTTCAGAGCATTTGAAGTAATCCATCTCAGTTCAGTATTAACTGTTATTCCTATATGCTTTAGTAACATGTGAGAAGTCAGCCAGCAAACACCACCATCCAATGCTGCAATTCTTAAAATGATATCATAAGTCTTTCTATTACAGGTGCAATTTCAATTTTATAAACAATCATTCAAAAGTTTATTAAGTAAGAGAATTATTTCATGAAAACATGCCCACTCAATGTCATGTCATAGATTAATATCTTTATTCCAAGGAAAAGTTAACAAATAACATGTATATATTGTGGAACTCTCATTCTATTCAAAAGCTATCCCAAGGAAATTCCACCTCATTAGCCACCTGGACCTCTGTGGGCTCTAATACATGAAGTGAAATAAATAAGATTCAGGCCAAATAGGAGGATGTTTTGACTATTTCTTACTCATTCTCACTTTAGTATGTAGCTCCTTGGCCTATATTATGTATATTGGTAGCCCCTCCATACAGCGCTTAAAGAAAATTACATTCCTCTCCTTATTGCACTTTTAAAGTGCAGTGAATGGAATAGTCTTCTAAGATTTTGAATGAACTTTAAAAGTTTTACACTGTGTTTATTGCAGATCTTTTTACTTTAAAAAGTATGTGCTAGCCACTTTGCAACCTTCTTCAAAAATTCTCTCACATGCATTAAGTAAATGGCCAAATTAGCAGGTGAATACATTGCATAACTTACCAACTCTGCCTGTAGACACAAGATTCAAATGTTAACAAATGACTAATTTATGCTCTGGGACTTCTTCTGCCCTTATGTCTCTCAAAATTCAAATTCATCTGAATTGCTTTCTGATGGCGTATTTTCCTTTGATATCTATAAAATATTTTTGGTTAGATAAACAAATCTTTATGGAAAATATAAAAAATGCTAGAAGCCAGGCTTTATTTTATTTTCTTGCACAACATGAAATTGTGAGAGCATTTACCTGTTTTCACTCTAAGTCCCTTGTCAACACTTGGCGACAGCCAGCACTTTCTTCTACTTAATAAGTGTTTTTCTGAGTATGTCAACATCTCATCAAGAGAGTGTAAATGTTAAAACCCGCTCTACTGTTTCAGATCACACATGAATGTCTGGAAGTTGCAGGATCCACCTGGTGGAAGTACCAGAGTGGATAGATGTTGTCAATTCTGATAATGTTTTCTTTGAAAAATATTGAAAATTAGAGGTTCAAGTTCTAACATTTAATTTACTTGTGTTTCACATTTATGTTGTGAGCAACACTCATCCATATTCATTCTTCATATATACATTTCTGTCTTTATTTTTTAAATGTGCCAACTGCCTGTCAAAGATAAAAAATCACATTCTGTATTATGAAATAGGGTATTGAAAAGATGCTGTTTCAATTCTTAACATTTATATTCCAAACCCAAGGGTACCCCAGTTTGTAAAAGAAACACTACTTCAGTTTAAGCCACACATTGACCCTCAGACACTTATAATAGGAGACTTCAACACTGTACTCTCACTAATAGATAGGTTACCCAGACAAAAATTAAACAGAGAATTACTGTAGCAAACTGACATTATAAACCAAGTGAATCTAACAGATATTTACACACTATGTTACCCAAACAAAAAGAATATACTTTCTTCTCACACCTCAAAGAATTTTCACCAAAATTGACTATATGTTCAGATACAAAACAAGTCTCAATACATACAACAAAATTGAAATAACTCCATGCATCCTGTCAGACCACCACTGATACTAAAACTGAACGATAATAACAGAAACAAAAAAGCTTACAAACTCATGGAAACTGAACAACTCTCTTCTAAATGAAAAATGGCTGAAGACAGAAGTAAATAAAGAAATTTAAGTCTTTCTGAAATTCAATGGAAATGAATACACAACATACCCAAACTTATGGGACACAATGAAAACATTGCTAAGAAGAAAAGTTCATGGCACTATGTACCTATATAAAATCATTGAAGAGATCTCATACTAGCAACATCACAGCACACCTGAAGCTCTGGAACAGTAGGAAGCATAGCCAAGAGGAAGGAATTGATAACATTGAGGGCTGAAATCAATAAAATAGAAACAAAGAGAACAAGAAATCAATGAAACAAAGTTGATTATTTGAGAAAATCAACAAGATGTACAAACCCTTCTTCAAACTAACTAAAAGACTCAGAGGGAATATCTAAATTAGTAAAGTCAGAAATTAAAAGGAGCCTATAACAACAGACATTTTGAAATCCAGAGACATACTTTAAAAACCTATACTCCACAAAACTGGAAAATTTAAAACAAAAGTTTAGTTTTCTGGATAGGTAACACCAAAGTGTTAAAGCAAGGTCAGATAAATGATTTACATAGGCTTATAAATCCTAGTGAAATACAAGCAGTTATTAAAAATCCTCCTCCCAAAACCCTTAGGGCCAGATTGCAAATACTCTTCAAATTATTTCACAAAGTAGAAATAGAAGGAACATTGCCCAATTCATTTTATGAGACCAAAGTTACACACTGATACAGAAACCACATAAAGACTCAATGAAGAGAATTATAGACCAATTTTACTCATGAATATAGATGTAAAAAATACTCAATAAAATACTTGGAAAGCAAGTTCAAGAACACATCGAGAAGATCATCTACCATGACCAAGTAGGCCTTATTCCACAGATGTAGAGATGGTTCAACATATGATAATCAGTAAATGTAATCATCCCATTAGATGCAGAAAAAGGTTTTGACAAAATATAACACCCCTTTATGATAAAAGTATTAGAGTGATTTTTGTGTGGCTTGGGTATCAATGTATTTGTAGCCTCACAAAAAGAGTTTGACAATGTCACTTCTGCTTCTATTGTGTGGAACAATTTGACGAGTACTGGCATTAGCTCTTGTTTGAATTTCTGGTAGAATTCTGCAGTGAAGCCATCTAGTCTTGGGCTTTTTTTGGTTGGAAGAGTTTTGATGACTGCTTCTCTTTCAATGGGTGTTACAAGTTGATTTAAAATGCCTATCTGTTATTGGCTTAATTTTGGGAAGTGATATCTACCCAGAAAATTTTCATTTCCTTTAGATTTTCAAATTTTGTGGAGTACAGGTTTTCAAAGTATGACCTGATGATTCTCAGGATTTCCTTAAAGTCCATTGTTATATCGCCCCTTTCCTTTCTGATTTTGTTAATTAGTATGCTCTCTCTCTCTCTGGCTTTTGGTTAGTTTGGATTGAGGTTTGTCTATCTTGTTGATCTTCTCAAAGAACCAACTCTTTGTTTCATTGATTCTTTGAAATGTTTTCCTAGTTTCTACTTTATTAATTTCAGCCCTCAGTTTATTTCCTGGCATCTACTCCTCGGTGGTGAGTTTTCTTCTTTTTGTTCTAAAGCTTTCAGTTGTTCTGTCAATTCTCTAGTGTGACTATTTTCCAGTTTCTTCATGTGGGCACTCCCTGCTATGAACTTTCCTCTTCCCACTGCTTTCAGAGTGTGCCATAAATTTGGGTATGTTGTGTCTACATTCTCATTAAATTCTAGGAAGTCTTTAATTTCTTTTTTTTTTATTTCTTCCCCAACCCAGGAATGGTGCAATTGGGTGTTATTCAATTTCCATGGTTTTGTAGGTTTTCTGCAATTTGTGCTGTTATTGAATTCTAATCTTAAAGTGTGGTCGTCTGATAAGATACAGGGGTTATTTCAATTTTTTTGTATATGGGGAGGTTTGCTATGTTGCCAAATATGCTATCAGTTTTAGAGAAGGTTCCATGTGGTGCTGAGAAGAAGGTATATTCTTTTGTGTTTGGATGGAATGTTCTATAGATGTCTGTTAATCCCAATTGGGTCATAACTTCTGTTAGATCCTTTGTTTCTTTGTTAAGTTTCTGTCTGGTGCTCCTGTCTAGTGGAGAAAGAGGGGTGTTGAAGTCTCTTACTATAAGTGTGTGTGGTTTTATGTGTGTTTTGAGCTTTAGTAATATTTCTTTTACAAATGTGGGTGCCTTCGTATTTGGGGCATAGATGTTTAGGATTGAGATTTCATCTTGATGGACTTTTCCTGTGATGACTATGAAATGCCCTTCTTCATCTCTTATGATTGATTTTAGTTTGAAGTCTAATTTGTTAGATATTAGGATTGCTACACCAGCTTGTTTCTTGGGTCCATTTGATTGGAAAATCCCCAACCCTTTACTCTGAAGTAACTCCTGTCTCTGGAGTTGAGGTGTGTTTCTTGTATACAGCAGAAGGATGGATTCTGTCTTCATATCCATTCTCTTAACCTGTATCTTTTTATACGCAGGTTAAGACCATTGACATTGAGGGATATAAATGTCCTTTGATTGTTTGTTTTGGATTTGTTGGTGGTGGTGTCATTGTGTGTGGATTTTGCCCTCCTGTTTCTTTTCCTGTTTGTAAAGTTGGATTATCTATTACTTATGTTTTTGTGAGTGTAGTTATCTTTGTTGGGTTGGAGTTTTCCCTCTAGGATTTTCTGTTGTGCTGGATTTGTGGATGGGTATTGTTTAAATCTGGTTTTGTCATGGAATATCTCATTTTCTCCATCTCTAGTGATTGAAAGCTTTGCTGGGTACAGTAGTCTGGGTTGGCATACATGTTACCTTAGTGTTTGTAGGACATCTTTCCAGGATCTTCTGGCTTTCAAAGTTTCCATTGAGAAGTCAGGTGTGATTCTGATAGGTCTGCCTTTATATGTTACTTGGCCTTTTTCCTTTGCTGCTCTTAATATTTTCTCTTTATTCTGTATGTTTGGTGTTTTGATTATTATGTGGCGAGGGGAGTTCTTTTTGTGGTCCAGTCTATTTGGTGTTCTGTCAGCTTCTTGTACTTTCATAGGCATATCCTTCTGTAGGTTGGGGAAGTTTTCTTCTATGAGTCTATTGAATATGATTTCTGTACCGTTGAGCTGTATTTCTTCACCTTCTTCTATACCTATAATTCTTAGATTCGGCCTTTTCATGGTGTCCCATATTTCCTCAATATTTTGTGTTAGAGATTTGTTGGACTTGAGATTTTCCTTGGTCGATGACTGTATATCCTCTAATGAGTCTTCAGCAACTGAGATTCTTCCATGTCTTGTATTCTATTGGTTATACTCACATCCTTAGATCCTTATCATTTAGCCAGCCTTTGTATTTCCAGCATCGCCTCGCTCTGTGTTTTCTTTATTGTTTCTATTTCAGCTTTCATGCCTTGAACTGTTTCTAGTGCTTCCTTCACTTGTTTGGTTGTTTTTTCTTTAGAATCTTTAAGATAATTACTTATTTCTTGATTTTTTTGTTTGTTTTTTTTTCTTCTATTTCTTCAACAGATTTTCTTGTTTCCTCTTTAAGGGTCTCAAACATCTTCATGAAAGTAGATTTTTAAGTCTGTCTCTTCTTCTTCTGTGCTGTGCTTTTCAGATCTTGCTGGTGTGGAGTCCCTAGATTCTGGTGGTGTCATATTAGTCTTTCTGTTGAGTGTATTCTTATTCTGCCTTCTTCCCATCTCTTCTTCCAATGGGTACAGGTGTGGTCTCTCTATCTCCTCTTGTCCCTCGGTAGTGTGTGTGGGCCAAGTCTTCAATGTCTGCACATATGGATGGTCTTGCCTCTCCTGGTAGTCTTCTCACTCAGGAGAGTTTGGGGCAGCAGAGAGGGAAGGGAGAGTGAGGTATTTCCAGACTCAAGGAGGTCCTTCCTGTCTGGGTGAGTCCACTCTATGCATGGCAGGGTTTGCTCTCTACAGCTTCAGGCCCAGAGAGATCCTGATGGGGACCTTGAGGAGGAGTAGGACTCAGGAGAGCAGTACTTGAAGTTTTAAATAGAACAGTAAGACAAGTGAAGGAGATCAAGGGGATACAAATTAGAAGGGGAGTAGTCAAAGTGCATGTAATTGCAAATAATATGAGAGTATAAATAAGTGACCCCAAAAATTCTACTAGGGAACTTCTACGGCTGATTAACACTTTCAGCAAAGTGCTTGGAATTAAGATTTACTAAAAAGAATCAGCTGGGTGGTGGTGACTCATGTTATTAATCCCAGAACATGAGAGTCAGAGTCAGGTGGATCTCTGTGAGTTCGAGGCCAGCTTTGTCTACACAGTGAGTTCCAGGACA